TCCCAATATCTAGAGATAAATTCTTTAACTGATAAACTGTCAATTTAAATTTCTCTTAACTATTTTTAGGGTTGCAATAACCAATGCTATAGAAGGAGATAAGCTGTATTAAATAAAAATGCTATAAAAATGAAAGCAAAATATATGTATATGTAATAATTTCTCTAAATGAATGTTAAAAAATATCTGACTACTAGTAATTCTGACTTGATAAACATGCTATATGAACTACTTGCACAGCTCATAAAATTTCAGTTTCGTCTGGGAATGTAGAAGGCTTGAGTACCATATGCAAGGCCCTGGGTTCTATCACTAGGAGCAAACAAAACAATTCAAGTCACTCACAAGAAGTCCAAATTGCCCACTGAATAACAGATGTTTCTTAGAAAAAGATTAGTGTATGTATTTTTGGAATGAAGTCAGAAATGGCCACACCACCCAGCCTCTCTGCCTTTTGTGGTACTGAGGATTGAACCCAGGGGCACTCTACCACTAAGCTTCATCCTGAGTCCCACACCCAGACCCCAGCCACTTTTTTGAGACACGTGTCACTAAGTTGCGAAGGCTGGCCTCAAACTTGCGATTCGTTTGCCTTCACCTCCTAAATAACTTGGATTACGGGCATGCACCATCACGCCTGTTTAGAAGAGCATCTTTTATAACCATTTTTGATCAGATGTATAATTTCATTCACTAAAGCATAAACACACTCAAAATTTACAGAAAGGATTCATGTCCTTTAAGGAAACATATTTCAGCTGTAGTACATATATGGGTTTGCTTATTAAATTTATACATCAATTTTTCTATCTTTATAAAAGTTGTATAATTTAAGTTATATTATAAAATACCACTTTCTTCCCCTCTAGAGCTGGGGATCAATGTAATGATGATGAAGTTAAATAATTAAGAATTGAATATGTGGAATATTTCATTTGGCTTTTTTTTTTAACTTCACATAATTTTGTTCATGATGTTAAATTTTAGCTTTATCAAATGAAAGGTAAAACAACTTCAGTTAAGAATGCATGCTGTTGCTAGGTGCAGTGGTGCACATCTGTAATCTCAGCTACTTGGGAGGCTGAGGCAGGAGGATCACAAGTTGGAGGTCAGCCTGGGAAACTTAGCAAAACTGTGCCTCAAAGTAAAGTTAAAAAGGGTTAGGGGTGGAGAAAGCATGTTATTTCCTACCTTAATTTTTCTGACTTGGCAGTTTGGTTAGGGAATAAATTCTTCAAGACAAATTCTGATATCTAATAAAAAAGTCAGACCAATTGAAAGTAAAACATATAGTGAAATGTAGCTGAGATATGACTAGACGCAACTGCTACTAATATTTATGTATCAGCGTGAAAATAAATGGATAGAGCGGACTACAAAATATGAACAGTTAATGTGAAATTGGAAGTGCCCTAGTAAACTGTAGATATCTTTCAGATTGATTAATTTTAAATTACATTTAGCTAAGTAAGACTTTAATTAGAGGAATAAACTTTGTATGAATCACCTTATCAAAATTTGAGAATAGTAAAATTTACATTTCTGAACATAAAATTAGATTAAAAAATCTGATAACAATGAATTAAAGTGAAAAATTTAAAGCAAGACCATTTTATCAAATGCGTAAATTATTATTTACATGTCATTAATTTTATTCTCTTCAATATGAGTGATTCTATTCAACTTTGTTTCTGTGTAATCCTCAGCTTTCACATCTCTGACTGAATTCACTCCTTTCATAGTTCTAATTTCAAAAAAGTCTCCAGCTAAAATGCAATTTGAATTATTACTGAATCCATCGGTTTCAACTAGCTTATTTTTTTCTTCATCTGTTTCTACAGAATCATAAAGTTCAGGTGTAAAATAGATAGATTCATCTTCTACTTCTGTTTCAAAAGTTGTATTTAAACTGGAATGTTTAGCTTCTTCACATCTCTGAATCAGTTCCAAATCTGGATCCTGGGCTTCTTTAGAGCAGAACAGTTGTTTTGAATGATCTTTTTTAGAAAGAGTAGTGTCAATCTTTATTGATGAAATAATGTTTTCCGATTGAGGGCACAGCCCAAACGGCATGTTTACTTTTATATTTGAGGAATCATATTTATCAGTAAGTGGCAAAGTAGTTTTATTTTCCTTATTTTCTTCTTTGAAAGTGGAAGAACTAGAGGCACAATACTCTGATGTACTGAGCTGGGGTGTAACAGCCTGCATCTTGCCAGTAAAATACTGTCCTAAAGAATTAAAGATAGACCAGCTAACTTTCTTTGTTTCTTTACTGAAAGTTGGGCTTGAGGATCTGGAAATCACAAAATTTTCAGCTTTCTTTGCTTGGACAGACTCTTCCAATAATACTGGATCATCTAGAAATAAAAAAATTTAAAAACTTTAACTTTCTGCTCCTAGCTAACATAATAATTGTTATAAGTATTTCTTAAATTAGGAATGCTTAAACAACTATATAGAATACATAATTTAGAGCCTAAGATCAGTAATGTTAGACTTTCATGTTAGAACTTAAAGAACAGAATTTTAATTCTGAAAGGAATATCAATCTCACTGTTTCCTAGCCCAAGTTATAATGCTGTCTTCTAAACTTCAAATTACACATCAGGGACCTCAATATTGAATGAGAAAAAGAGGGATAAAAAAGGAAAAAGGAAAAGGGCTCAGTAAAGGAGGGAACAAG